ACGTTTATTGGAGAGGTTCTGCGATGTTTCTTCAACCTAGACAGAGATAATAATATTGTCAATAAACATATTTCCGCCATAAATACAGTTGCTGAGGAAGTGGTTATCTGTAGTCTGAACTGCCATGGACCAGACCCCAGGAAACCTGATCACATCAGACCAGGGTCTATGGTGAACATCACCTACGCTTGTACATTTATTCGAAGGGCGGAGATGGGACACAAGAACCTGAAGGCCGAAATAACGTATATGTTGATGACTTTGCAATAATATTATAATTATGTATAGCCATATTGGCGTTCATTAAACTGTACTTTAGTACAAACCCAAAAATTCAAAAAGGCTTTAGTTCAATGTCGTCCTGTCTAAGAACCCCTATTTTTATTTTCGAAAATGGATTCTAGGAGTACTATCCAACATAAATCTTCTTGTTGAGATCCGATCAACTTGAGTTCTAGTGAGAAAATGAGGATTTCAGCAAGGCTGCCATTGGCTTTACATGGTGACATACATGATGCTATCCCGATGCTTTAGTCATTGGTCTATGGTGTATGTTGGATAGTATTTCTAGAATCCATTTTCATAAGTAAAAATAGGGGTTGTAAACAGGACATTGGGCTTGCTTTTTAGAACTTTTTGTTGGTACCACTTAGTCTCATGTCACATTGACCGTATGATTCAGTGATTTCACCATTTCAGTATCGTAATGTGCTTCTTGAAAAAAACAAATTGTCCAAAATCATGTAGATCATTGACATGTACATTAAAAACACATAGATCTTATATTTTATGTGTAAATTATTTCTTTACTCAGATTAGACAATACGAAGATGCTTGGTAAAGTAAGAGGTGAATCACCGCAGTATTTCAGTGGATTCGTCACCAAGATAGCCAGGAAAGGAGAGTTCACTGCAAGTTTGAAAGCTGTAATGACAACGTGTGTGAGCAACAAAGACAGCTGCGCGGCTAACAGAAAATGCATTTTAAATTCTGGACAATAAAAGAATATACAGTTATCGTAATGCCAATTCCTTATCACTACTATACTATGAGAGTTCCCGATGAATTATTCATGATTTAAATGTACATATATTTGAAAAAAAATAATTGGAAATAAATAGAAGACAATGAAATGATTTCGTTTATTAATTTGCTTGTTGCGTGAAGTAATTCAGGATGTTTGACTCAGTTTCCAACTCACCAAACCACTTGTCTAAGTTCTTCTCTCTACCCTGGCCTCTACCCCCTAAACCCCGTTTGCCAAAGTCAACACAAGAACAACACTAGGTCAAAAATATTAATTTTACTTTTAGACTATTGACAGAGATTGAGAAAGCTGTCAAAAGAAAAATTCTCCCTCTTTAATCAACCATATCAGTTCATATTTACAGGATATAGCTGTAACATATTGCGCATTGTACTGTTACTCGTTGCTATGGTAACAAATTCAATTAGCATTTTAGAAATATCACTCTATGGCAAACATAACAGATTATTGATTCATAGTACTGCGTTAAAACCTTTCTGGGACCCTTAATTATTTTAGACAAAATATTGTCCAGTCATCCCTCCTAGAATGATTGGATTCTTACACCACACAATGAGGCAGAGTCAAGTTAAAGGGTGGGGTTTTAATTAAAATGGCTTCATAATTTGATCTCATATGTATCTTTTGGGAATATACACAAACCCTTGTGTCATCCACTCATTGTATATTATATTGCATGTGTTTTTATGAAATAAACAAATTGAAACTGAATTTTTTGCCTAGCAACTACGTAGTCCCATACTGAATTCCTTATAGCGACCATTATTACTCCTGTTTTCTTTTCAATCACCACCAAATGTAAAAAGGGGTGCTTGGTGTCTATACTTTTGTTACATTTCACTTTTGCCTGGCAACCACATAGCAACAGTATAAAATTACAAAAGTTCTACCTTAATCAGCCATTTATTCTGTGGGCATTATGTTACCAAGTCACATTTTGAGACATAATTGTCAGTAGCGTCAGTCTGGACATCTTCATTTGATCTATATTTTAAAATTCAGGTATTTGTGTTATACATTTTGATTTGTGGAAACTTTTAAACAAATATTTAGTAATTAGAATCGAGTTTTATTATTTAACAGGATGAGCGTACGATGTCACCGATAGCCGTACGATAATCGCACTAACTATTACCGTACGGTCGTCGACAGGGTAGACTCCGATGAGTTTGATTGAGAAAGAATCGGTAATACATCGGCAACTTTTATGTCTGAGATAAAATTCCTCCCGGCGCCCGTACGATGTCTAAAAATCGCTCGGCTATTGCCGGTAATTGGCTAGCTCCCGAACGATACCCGCACGGTTCCGGCCGATGTTGCTAGTTATGTTGTGATTGTGTTATACTGGTCGGTTGGCAGGTTGTGTCCAGTTGGGTGAGGTATCTGGCTGTGTCCGACTGTGTTGTTTGATTGTGAGAACAAAGGCATGGATTAGCTTTTGCCTATAATTTGGTTGTGCCAAATTGTGTTGTGTTAATTTGATAGTTCGGGGTGTTCTTGGTGGTTGTAAGTTAGGTTGTGTTATGCTCGATTGGTGTCAGGATCAGAAGACACAGAACGCAATAGGACATAACTCAGCACCAAACGAGCATAACATAACATAAAAGTTACAACCACCAAGAACACAACCAACTGTCAAAATTTCACAATCACACAACACAATCGGATACAGCCAGATACCTCACCCAACTGGACACAACCTGCCACTCAACCAGCATAAAACAATCACAACCTAATACAACCCATTAACAATTAACATAACCCAATGGGACACAATCTGTTTCTAAAATACATAACACAACCAAGCTCAACCAGATGGACAACCACCAAGACACAACCGACTGACGAACTTACAAATCACAATCGAGCACAATCCGATAATAAACCAACAACTCATTGTTGAATTAACACAACAAAATTAGGCACAACCTGACACCAACCATTCATAACACCTTCAGGCACAGCCCGATACTCAACCTCTTAAACCATCCCATCAAAACGCAATCAAGCACAATCTATAAAATACAACCAAACTGTGACCATTATATGCAACTAACCTTCTCCAACTGTAAACAACACCAACCACATAACACAATCAAGCACAACCTGATATCTACTCGAATTACAACCAACTAAATCTCCTCATAAGGCTGCTGATGAAAAACATATCACGGACCACCACGTGCTGAGTGCTCATAAAGGCATAGTGCAAGTCCAATCCAAAAAACGATTGCATTCATGTCCCAAAATGTGACTTGATAATATTGATGCTCACACAATTCATCGTGGTAAGCCACGCCCTCTCCATCTCTATTCATTCTGGACATCTGCGATGTAACAGAGAGAGATGCTATGAGTATCAGAATGCACACAATGATTTTATACCGCCATTGCTATGTATTGTGGCACCCAGTAAATGTATGATTACGTTTGTAGATGGAAGTATGCCACTTTTTACATTTGATGGTGGTCGGAAAGACAACAGGAGTAAAAATGGTGAATAATTCAGTATGGAACCATGTGCTTGCTAGGCAAATATATGAAGTCAATAAAAGTCAAATGAAGTCAAATAAATTTCAGCCAATAAATGTCAAGACACGCAATATTTTGTCTAAAATAATCAACAAGGGCCCCAGAAAGTTCTTAAGGCAGTACTATGAATCATTAACCTGTTATAGTTGCCGTAGAGTGAAATTTTAAAAATGCAACGTTATAGAAAATGTAAGAATAGTACTAACTTTTACCCGTTTGAATTAGTTCCCATAGGAACCAGTAACAGGATCAGTTCAATTCTGCATATCGGTAATAAGCAATATGTTATAGTTTTATCCTGTAAATATGAACTAAAATTGTTGATCAAGAGGGACTCGAGATTCAGGTTCAAGAAACAGGTTCAGTCATTTTGTTGGGATGTGTTGCTATGGCAACAGGTTTCTAAATTGACTCCTGTAGTCGTTAGGCTCCATATGAGACCCGGGGTGGAAGCTACATGACATGTGTATAGTATATACTGTACATACTGAGAGTGGCCGTGCTTTTCAAAGATTGTCAGATAAAAATTATTTTGACAGTCTCGTATGTATCTGTTTTGTTTCTTTTTATTCAATCATAGACCTCTAACAAATACAAGTTCGAGTAATATTTTTCAATGGAACCAATTCACAAAACAACATCAAAAATTGTAATCCAAATCACATGAAAACATACACAATCGTTTCCTCAAAAGTCAATGTGTTTATTTCAAAGTTTTTTGTGCACCCTATTCTTATTGCTAAGAACAAAAGAGGTGCAGGACTATCAAGGTCCGTCCCATGGACTAATTTTGGGTAAAGGCTCTGAAGTCACAGGGGAGGTGAATGTGATCTGATGATATGTGGAAAGTTTCATGCTTCGTTCCGAGGATGAACTATTATTCAAAGATTTATCCCGTAAAGCACCAACTGATGTCGTGTGAATGTATGCCCTTTTCTGGATGGTGGGAACTTACATTTCAACTAGCTTTACCCAATTTCGACAGACTCCAGAGAGGCACTTATTTTTCTGGGATTACTATAAAGCCCTCTATTTTTTACCGAAAATATTATATTTGTTTCAATGTGAGGAAAAATAAGGAATGAGGAATAAAACGGCGGTGATAGAATTGCACGGTTATTGGGTATATATTTTATTTTATAACTGACAACAATTCAACACGATTTGACCCCCAATGTGACATATGACATTAATAAACAAGTGAAAAATGTATACGAAACAGAATAATAAAATTAATTAGTCAATAAAATTGTAATGCATCGACTCGAAAATGACATGTCGCCTGAATGCAACATTTACCCAGCACCATGAAATCATGATGAATCTGACCACAGTGTTGACCACATATCATGTTCCATAGGTCCGGTACCATAAAATTGACAGTATAAAAGCCCGACCAGTTAACCTTTCCATGTCTATCATTCAAATGATAAAACATTAACATCAACATGAGAATCATCGTCGTCTTGGCCGCTTTAGTGATAACAGGTGAGTCTAAATAATATGTAAACTTTTGGAATTTTTTCTCAACATAAATGTAATTTTCATTGAATTAGGGAAACATTAATGGCAATGCCATTGGGAAATCGCATTTAATGTTTTTATCTTTGGATTAGCTTTAAGTGAAGTGCATCTTACAGAATCGCCAAGTTGATTTTTCAATATTCAAGAAAACATCTAAAGTGCTTATCTCTCTATACTTTGATGCTTACCTTTTATTTAATTGAATTGATGAAAGGGAATGACATTTGCCCCCCACCCTCTCACGTTTGTACTATAAAAGGGGTTGCCAGTTGGTGTTTTATTTTAGCAGTACTTTTATTTTGATGGTTCAAATATATATTCTTTTGTAAAAAGGGGTGTTCGGACAAATATGTGAAGAGAAATGTGAGGCGACTTGTGAGCAGAAATGCGCGAAGAAATGCCAAGGAAAAGTGAAACCATCTAAATGTGGAGGGAAATGCAAATTCTCCATTGAATGCAAACATGAATGTTGGTGTAACCAGGGAATGTGTGAACCTATGACAGAAGTAGGAGAACCCTGCAGGAAGAATGATGAATGTAAAGGTCTTTCCAAATGTGTGCCCTTAGGCAACGGTAAATAAGAGCATTTTATTTAGTGCAAGTTGCTATTCTATTGATTGTGAACATGCTAGATTACTTAATGATTTTATTAATTGCATTCAAAAAGATAAAACATCACCGAAATCAAAATATGAAGAAATGCCTAACACTAATGACTAATCTTTTATAACAATTTCGGAGTATACCACAACTTTAAACTACCCCGAGTCGTTGATAATGAATATATTATAGGGATATGTGAGGAGACATGCAGAGTTGACAATGACTGCTTGCAGTACAAGAATGGCAAAAACAAGTACTGTACTGTTGGAGGCACTGCGGGAACACAGAAAGGCAAATGTGAGATGAAACACGAGAAAGGATATCGCTGTGCAAGAAGCCCAGAATGCAAAGGGAAAATGTACTGCAGGAATGGACAATGCCAACGTAAGTCAATATAACTTGAAATGTAATGTTGCACTGGACAAACTTTATGTAATTCATTTCAAATGCTATTTATAAGAAATATGAAATACGCGATCTCGCACAAATAAACCATCTTAAAAATATATGTAACGTGATTAAACCCTAGGCATTTCATTGCTGTCTGTTTTTTGCCATATTTACTAAAAGATAAAGTAAACATATATTTTTATAAAAATACAGTAAATGCATTCATGTAATACAGTTGCTGAAGAGGTTGTCATCTGTAGTCTGAACTGCCACGGACAAGACCCCAGGAAACCGGATAACATCAGACCAGGACATATTGTGAACGTCACCTACTCTTGTACATTTATCAGAAGGGCGGAGATGGGGCACCTGAACCTGACGGCCACAGTGAAGTATGTTAATTAAAATTGAGTTCTGCAAATTAGTAATTGTATTGTAATCAAGGTCTATGGATAAGAAATGGAGTTTGACTTTTATTTCACCAGGGAGACTGTTCCGAAACGAACCACTAAAGAGGAACGTAATTCTAAGCATGTATCGTACATCTTGTCTGTAAATAATCCGATTTTTCTTTATTTAGATTAGATAGAACGAAGAACCTTGGCAAAGTAGAGGGGTTATCACCACAATATTTCAGTGGATTTGTCACCAAGAAAGCCAGGAAAGGAGAATTCACTGCAAGTTTGGATGCTGTAATGAAAACATGTGTGAGCAACAAGGACAGCTGCGCGGCTAACAGAAAATGTATATTAAATGCTGGACAATAACATAAAATAACATACTTTAGAATATACCGTTATCTTAATGCCAATCCTTGATCACTACTAGTAAACTATGAGAGTTCCCCATGATTATTTATGATTTAAATGTACACTATTTGAAAATAATTAGAAATTAATTGAAGACAATGAAATTTTAATTTGATAATTATGTTGCATAATGCTGGAAGTGATATGCGTGAGATGTCAGGCTAATAGGAAATACATATTAAATGTGGGCCAAACACAAAAAGAATTTCTCCGTATTCTTCGATAAACATTGATTGTGTGAGCTTTCGATTAGTGATTGTTTATGTGCTTCAATAACGAAAAAATAAATAAACGGCCTTTGTTTTAACAAAGCCAAAAGAAATGGCGACATATTGTTGATAGCTGACCGTTTTTGTTCGGCGTTGGAGTCTTTAATCAACCAGTTGGTGACATTTAGTCATGTTAATGCATACATACATTCTATACATTCATACATACATGTGGTTTGACTAAGATCCGTCGTGCAAATTATATATATTGGATATATGGATATATAGAATTGTTATCTATCTATAATGCTTAGATACCCGTCACCAATCGCACACCACGTTTAGGTGCTAATTGCGATCTCATTAAAAAGACACATAGTGTTCAGAAGTAAAGTATTCACCTCGAGGTTTAAGAAATATACACTCCCCTCCATAAGTTTGGCAACCTTTTTTCTCCATTGAACTACGTGTTAAAGCCTCTTTACGTTTGAATTTTTATTTACTTAACCTGCGATGAAAATACTTATACTATTGATGGAAACGTAATTTCACTTTAATTCCAATACCTCCAAATTTTCTCAATTTTTTTCCTTAATTACAGTAGGTCGAAAATTGATGATGAATTTGATGAATTTTTGAAAATCGACATTCCCATGTTAACCAATGGGAAATGGTAGGTTTGCCGCAAGTCATATGACAGAATATCCATTAATCCGAGTCCTTGCAAAAAATACGAGTTAGGCAGGTAATTGAATTTGCTAACTTTATTTAACAAAAAATTGATATGTTTCTTCAGGTTCAACAAAGTTATAGGGCTTTAAAGTCAAAATTGTTTTTCAAAAAACCTCTCCCATTGAAATAACACAGGAGGCGAAAAATTCTTTTCAAAAATGACTTTGAAGCGCTGTAACTTTAATATTCATCAAATAAACTAAACACTTAGTGTTCAAAAAAGTTAGACAATTCAATTTTCTATATGAAAATATTTTTTGCTGAATCTTTTACTGAAAAGATATCTTGATTTCTGATTTGCCCCGAACCCTCCATTTCCCATTGGATTACATGGGAATGACGATTTTCAAAAATTCATCAAATTTATCATCAATTTTCGACCTATTGTAATTGAGGAAAAAAATTGAGAAAATTTAGAGGTATTGGAAATAAAGTCAAGTTACGTTTCCATCAATATTATAAGTTATTTCATCGCCGGTTAAGTGAATAAAAATTCAAACGTAAAGAGGCTTTAACACGTAGTTCAATGGAGAAAAAAGGTTGCCAAACTTATGGAGGGGAGTGTATATCTCGAAATGATACGATCATATATTGCTGCATATGTTACCAATTGACCAAGAAAAATATCATATTGACCAAAGGCGATAGCCCTGAGTTTCTTCATTCTATAATCTGGAGAACAGTTTCTTGTTTAAAGTGTTTTACATCGTAGCTTATATATCTGGAATGTTGGGCACTTTACAAAAATCCTTTCACGTTCTATCTATAACAAATGGCTCTAAGTGCAATTTTGAATTCAGATTAGGAAACGGTAATATGGTAGAAAATGTAACTACAGCCAAACGTGGAGGAAGAACGTTGTTTTCACTTTTCAATCAGGCGGATTACCACACCTTCCAGCTATAAAACAACAACCAAGCACTTATATACTAATCAATTGCAATACAAGGGAAATGGAAATTATGGAAGTTACCCAAACGAGAGATAGGAGGGTCCAATTTTTCCAAACCAAGCAAGCAATTTATCCTTTATTAAGCCAGAGACATATATCTCTGATTAAGCCAGTCGTATTGATATCAATGAAGTCGAAAATTGATTATGATAAACAATTAATATTCTTTGGAATTCTGACACTAGAAACGATGGCAAATAAATGTAAGCAACTTAGAATAATGAGACTGACAAGCATAATCTTACATGAAGACAACAGGGACACACCCTTATCCATAATGTTAGAATGTGTAATAAAATATAATCTTGTAGATACTGTGATGGAAATGATAAGAACATTGGAATTGTGCACGAAATAAGAAATATTTTGTTTCTATGAAACAAATGACAAATGATGAATAAAACGGCGATGATACCGTGCACGGTTATGGAGTAAATGTTTACGACAACAATTCAACACGATTTGATCCCAGCATGTTCATATGACATTAATAAACAAGTGGGAAATGCATACTAAAGATAGTCATTAAAATGATCGTGCATTGAATCGTAAAAATGATATGTCGTCTGAATTCAACATATTCCTTGCATCATGAAATCATGATGAATCGTGACCACATATCATGTTCCATAGGTCCGGTACCATAAAATTGACAGTATAAAAGCACGACCAGTTAACCTTTCCATGTCTATCATTCAAGTGATAAAACACTGACACCAACATGAGAATCATCGTCGTCTTGGCCGCTTTAGTGATAACTGGTGAGTCTAAATTTTGCGCATTTTTTCTCAGATTGATTTCCCAAATTAAAAAAAATATTGGTAATGTCATTGTGTTCCTGTTTTTGACTTGTTTTATTTAATTGTTGCAATATGGTTCAAATATGTATTTTGTAAAAAGGGGTGTCCGGCCAAACATGTGAAAATAAGTGTAATGTGAGATGGCAGAAATGTCTGGACGACTGCCCACCAACTACAACTGAAACCCGATGTAAACTTAAAGATGTAGGAGAAACCTGCACGAAGAATTATGAATGTGAAGGTCTATGTGTAAAAGGTAAATAGGATCATTTTATCTTGTGCATGTTCCTATTCTTTTTATTGTGTACATGCTAGATTACTTAATCATTTTATTAGTTATATTCAAAAGTATGTAACGTCACCAAAACCAAAATTTGAAGAAATGCCTAAATAGCACTAATAAAATGTAAAGGGTTGATCTTTTAAAACAGTAGCAGAGTATACATCACCTTTTATGATATCAATTGCCAACTTTAAAACTATCGTACCGACTAAATTATAATGAATATTCATAGGAATTGGCATACTTATCCCCAAGACTCTATTTAAGTCATATAAATAAGCTGACTACTACTTTTCCATAGGCAAATGTAAACGACCACCTAAATGTGGAGGCTCATGCAAATTCTCCATTGAATGCAAACATGAATGTTGGTGTAACCAGGGAATGTGTGAACGTATGGTAGATATAGGAGGATGCTGCAAGAAGAATGATGAATGTAAAGGTCTTTCCAAATGTGTCCCTTTAGGCAATGGTAAATAGGAGCATTTTATCAAGTGCTCATTTCTATTCTATTTATTGCATAATCATTACTTAATTACATTACATTACATTACATTACTTAATCATTTTTTGTTAATTGTATTCAAAAAGGTAAACATCACCCCAAAATCAAAATATGAAGATCAACTTTAAAACCATACAGATTCAATTATTATAATGTATATATCATAGGAACATGCGAGGAGACGTGCAGAGTTGACAATGACTGCCTGCAGTACGACGATGGCAAAAACAAGTACTGTACTGTTGGAGGCACTGCGGGAACACAGAAAGGCAAATGTGAAATGAAACACGAGAAAGGATATCGCTGTGCAAGAAGCCCAGAATGCCAAGGGAAAATGTACTGCAGGAATGGACAATGCCAACGTAAGAATATAAATTGAAATGTAATGTAGTACTGCACATACTTTATAGCATTAATTTCCAAGACAAGGCTATTTATAGAAATATAAAACGTGCGATCTCGCATACATAAACCACCTTTCAAAATATATGTAAAGTTTCAACCCCAGGCATTTCATTGCTGTCTGATCTTATTTGCAATACTTACTAAAAGAAGAAAACATCTATTTTTACAAAAAATATAGAAAATATTTTCGTCCTTAATACAGTCGCTGAGGAAGTTGTCATGTGTAGTCTGAACTGCTATGGACCAGACCCCAGGAAACCAGATCACATCAGACCAGGATTTACGGTGTATGTCAATATCTGGCTCTCATGTGTTCTTTCTGGCAAATAGGCACTGGCTGTCTGACATTACATTATATGCCATGTTTACTGGAAAGATATAATTAAATAGAATATATTCGTTCTCAATACAGTTGCTGAGGAAGTGGTCATTTGTAGTCTAAACTGCCACGGACCAGACCCCAGGAAACCCGATCACATCAGACCAGGATTTTACGTGACTGTCAATTACACCTGTATATTTATCCGACGGGCGGAGATGGGACATCTGAAGTTGAAGGCCGAAGTGAGGTATGTTGATTGCATAGCCACTTTGGGTTTTCGATAAACTCAGCTTGTATTCACAAATGCAAATAGCGGCTACCGGCTACTGGATTAACCTACTGATTGGCATAAATTAATCCGTCAGTTTAGCTCAGCTACTGGGTTTGGGGCAAGAGCTGGCAAATGAGCTTGTATTCACGAATGCACATTTGAGTATCAATAACTTTGTTAGTCAAATAGAGTGTCAGGGTTGGTTTATCCCAAAGATGAAGAAATATAATGACAAACGACGGTCTCCCATTGAAATAGGACAGGAGACGAAGGACCATTTTAATGTTCTGTGACTTTATTGCTTGAACACTTGAATGTAAAAAGTTAAACAGTTGAAATTTTTTATGATAGTATATCCTTTGTTGATTCTTGAGCGAATACATATTCTGAAAACAGATTAACCTGGAACCCACTGTTTCCCATTTAGACAGGTTCCAATTTCAGAATATCTCAAGGGAAAGGGTTTTTGAGGCATTTTTTAGAAAAAGCAACAGACCTATTTCTTCTGGATTAGTTTTTCATGCTGATAAAGATATTAAAAGATGACAGCTCAACGGGGTGGTCACGACACTGAATTTTAGCGTTTTCACCCCCCTAGGAAAATATTTTAGGGGGTACTATGAAATTAGTTCATAACTCAAAGGATATATAAACTATTGTTCTGAGTTCTACAGCATACATTGTTAGTACAGAGATGAATACTACCCTAAAGTTATAGGTTGATATCTTTGTTGGTTTCGGAAAAATACAATTAATTAGAAAAAAATATGCAATTTTTGTCATTTTTTTCTTGCTTATTTTATATTTGTAGCTTCAAGCAAAATATGATAACTTAAACAGCTCAAAGTAGTATTCTAACAACATTCCTAAGCTATGTGTGATATTGTAATACATCTATAATAGTGATGAAGTACTATTTTGTAATTTTAATATGACTTTATAGTGCCCTACCCCTGGTAAATAGAAGAAAATTGGTGTGGTTTTCTTCTGGTTTTATAACATTTTATTGTCTTCTTAGTTGAAGATACAATCAATTCTGTCAGTTAACCATGAGAAGCTTTACAATGGTTAACTATTCCCATGAATAGAGGGTTGGGACCTCAAAAATACTGTTAAGTGGCATCCTTGGGCAACCCTCTTCAGAGCATTTTCCTTATACTCCGATGAAATCTGCAGGGGATACTATAAGAAACCTATATATCTAAGATACTAATGAAGATACTGAATTCAAATTTTCAGGATTTGGTCCTGATATGAAAGGTAATCTGTATGACAAAAATGACAAAAAGAAAAAACTCTGTTGCCATAGTAACAAGAATACGACACTATTTGTTTCCTAAGAAATGTGTTTTAAGAGGTTTTGTCATTCTCTTCATATTTTTAATTCTAAATATGTCTACAATGTGGGATGATTAAAATTATGGTAAAGTAATCTTTTCTATTGTTCTATTGTTCTCTAAAACAGAAGTTACTAGGGCGACACATAGATCATAGAAAAAATCCTGAGATGATCGCTCTATTTGTCAGGAAATTAAAATGGAAACTGAAAAATGAGTTTCTTCCTACTGAATAGCAATTTGGTAGACCATGGCTGACACGCACAAGAGAAAACGTCTATCAGTTCTATGTCATTTTGTTGTTATTTTATTTATTTATCGTGCTCTGGGACTTATAACACCTAATGCCGAATCTTTTCCAACTGCAAAGGAAGGCAAGATTTTAATAATGAACATTCATATATCTCAACAAATATGGCCTAAGATTTGGACAATGATGATGAAACTCTGAGGGAAAATTAGACGAAACATTAATGTGAATCAGTGCTCATTTAAAGATAGTCTGAATCAGGTGAATTTTTTAACCTAATTGTACCCCTCCCCCAAATTTTGACAATTGTCGAAAAGTGGCAAACAACAATTAAACAAACATCATTAAAGTTCAATATGGCTATTTCGCTTCTATGTCATAAAGATGTGGTACGATCTCAGGTCAATCAATAAATTTCACAAGTGACACTCTATCTTGATCTTATGAAGAAAATATTATCGTATTTGAAGACATGTCAAAAATTTGGTGGAAATAATTTTGTCACTCCTGATTTGACCTGGAAAGGTTCAGGTAAGTAATCACAAACAATTTCAGACAGTTATATCTTTGATTATTACTATTTTCTGACCATGAAGACAGGTATACAGGGATAATAAGTCAATCGGAATCAGAGATATTTCACTAGCAATCAGCCCATCAATATTTTTTTCAAAGTTGTTGACCTCATTTTCACCAAAAATGTTAACAATTCGGTGTCTTTAAAGTCCCTGGAGCAATCCACTTTTCCTCTTAGGAAATAGAACATGTCTCAAAGCATATTCTAATTATGCATTCAACAATATAATTAAAGGTTGCATCTTTGGTAAAAATTAGGTCAACATTTTTATAGTAAAAAGTATGTTGATTGGGCCATTCCCTTTAATATCACTTAGGTCTGATTTCAATCATTATATTTACTTTTCTTGAAGATAATGAATAGATCTAAAAGATATACCCATGTTCATGGTCAGAAAATATTCATAATTCAAGTTAGAATTGTCTGAAGTTGTTTGCGATAACCTACATGCTCCTTTATAACACTATTATGTAAATACAGTAGAACCTGTGTAAGTGGAACACTCTCCGTTCTGCCACAAAGCGTTCCACTTAGAAGGTGTTCCACTTGTGGAGGTTTTGGGTTCGCAGGGAACATACAAGATCAAATATAGGATTTATATGTATCATTGGAAATATGATTCTCCCTTCATTACAGGGCAGGTATATACCATTAATAATCCATTTATTTTACTCAAAAAGGTATCAGACATTCTTAATCCTCCTCATTCTGCCAAAAATGTTTTCTGACATTCTTAATCCTCCTAATAGTGCCAGTCTCTGGTACAAAGATTAGGCAATTAAGTTTTAAAGACTTGTTCCTACTGCTAATAATTCAATTGTTTTTAAATGACATTTTTAATCTTACTCATTAAGTTTGAAACAAACAGCAAGGGATATTAATTACTGGTAGTATCACGAGTCCAGTTCTACAGGAGGTTAATCCAATTTTCTGAATGATAATCTTATGAAATCCTAATTTGCTGATTATCAAATTAATTATTGGTTGCATCACATGTTGACCTCTACAGGAGGTTAATCCATTAAAATCCATTAAAGTCCTAATTTGCCAATTATCACAGTATTACCTGCTTTCATACCCAGATATCATTGAAGGAGATTAATTCTGTTTACATATATCAATATTGAAATCTATGGAAATTGACTGTTCCACTTAGCAGGTTAATTTTTCAATATGGGGTGTCCACTGTTCAAGTTTGGAGGTGTTCCACTTACAGAGGTTCAATTAACATTAAGTCAATGGGTTTTTAAAACGGGACTTTGAAAAGGCGTTCCACTTGGGAGGTGTTCCACTTACAGAGGTGTTCCACTTAGCAGGTTCTACTGTACATTACTTGTGCATGATGACCACCATAGTCTAGTTGCTCAAATGAGATCAATTGATGATTATAATGTTTGGACTTTATGTCAATGTCCAGACTGTATGCCAACCTCTCTAGCATGTGATTACACAAGATTTCATTCTGATACATGTACTAAATTGAAAACTTACATAAAAAATATCTTAAGTCCTATATTCTAGTAATAAATGAATTAGAATGTCACCTAACATTTGACGATGGTATGAATTTATTGATTTGGTGTCCATCAATACATGTTTCTAACTTAATGCTGCAAAATGATAAAATTCACCACATCCACTTTCTTCAATTTTCCAGGGGTAGGGCACCATAAAGTCATATTAAAATTACAAAATAGTACTTCATAACTAAAATAGATGTATTACAATACCACACATAGCTTGGAAATGTTTTTAGAATACTACTATGAGCTGTTAAAGCTGTCATATTGTGCTTGAAGCTACAAATATAAAATTGGCAAGACAAAAATTGTGTATCTTTTTCCTGTTTTTTGTATTTTTCTGAGACCAATAAGGGTATCAACCTATAACTTTAGGATAGTATTCATATTTGTACTAGCAATGTATGGTGTACAACTCAGAACAATAGCTCATATATCCTTTGAGTTATGAACTAGTTTCATAGTACCCCCTAGAATATTTTCCTAGGGGGGGTAAAAATGCCAAAATTTAGTGTCGTGACCACCCCGTTGAGCTGTCATCTTTTAATATCTTTATCAGCATGAAAAACTGATCTAGTAAAAATAGGTCTGTTGCTTTTTCTAAAAAATGCCTCAAAAACTTGAATTATTTGAATTGGAACCTGTCTAATTGGTTTACAAGGGAGTGACGAATTTCATTGATTCATCAAGGTCGTCTTTGTCACTTATTAATGCCTGGGTCACATTTGCTCCGATTCATCGGCCGGCGCCCGGCCGATTGAGTGTTTTGTTTAAAATTGAATTCATTTTGGAACAAAATACTCAATCGGCCGGGCGCCGGCCGATGAATCGCAGCAAATGTGACCCAGGCATAAATAGAGAAAATAGGAATTTGGAGATATGGGATATGAATTCAAGTAACATATCCACCTTTATTTTGGTTTCAACTAAAAATTGATCATACGGGACCTGAGCAGGTACAGTGTAGTTTAATGGGCAAGTTAGGCTGTCAAACTTATGAAGGATGCATAAATCGTCAGGTATTATTTACACATTGTATTACAATTACATTTACACGTGATTTATGCCTTGGTCACATTTGCTCCGATTTTCACTACGGCGCCCGGCCGATTGAGTATTTTGTTTGAAAAATTGAATACACTGTTGAACAAAACACTCAATCGGCCGGGCGCCGGCCGATGTATCGGAGCATATGTGACTAATGCCTGGGTCACATAGCCGCCGGGCGCCGGCCGATGAGTAGTCATCGGCCGATTTATAAATCGACCGGGCGCCGGTGACTTTTCACCGAT